CTTAAGTACGCATAGTGATGGTACAACTTGTCAAATGATTTGTAGGACTGTTATTTTCAAACCGAGCCTAGGAGTAAAATCTACATAAAGAAATGCTTTGATGCATTATTGATGCATTATGCTTTAGATGCCTTCTTGTCACACAGTTCAAAGACTTGGTGGCCAACAGCACACAGTAAGTTGTGTGAGTCTGGGACACTAGGCAAAGCCTTGGGTGATGCAACATAAGTCCCAGATCACTTGTGTTTGGTGGAAAGCAGTGATCACTAGGAAGTGAATCACAAAACATAGTCTACCTTCTGGCATCCCTGCATGCTCCAAAGGGCTATCCAAGTTGAAACAATTAATGAGCAGGAAGTTAAGAGCATGTTTCATCAGTGCTGACTGCATCTGTAAGTCATCATTTTGTGCTTCAGGAGAACTATTCTCAGAATCTATCAACTTCTTTCATAGCCACTTCCAATTCCCCTGGTCACTGTACTCAGTCTTTCTGTCATTCTGCTGCCCCTCAGATTTCTGAGACAGGTGGCATGTTATCAGGGCAAATGTCAGTTCTTGGAGGCAATTAAGGCAGTCCTGGTTTCTAGCTTCCTCATCTCAGAGCAGGTCCCTATGCAGTGTGCAAAGTTCATACAGAGCACATTATAGGGATAGTTTCATCCAGACCTGACACCCTTGAAGCCCACTGCATGATGGCTCTCAGGACTAAAGCTCTTTCTGGAGTGCAGCAGCATTGATAATAACAGGAAGTTATGCACTTAGTGCATGTTTATAGCTGAATAGGTTAGACACTGAGTGTAATATGTAGATGGGTCAGGGCTGCTGAAAAGGCTCTTCTGGGTACGATACTGATGACAAAAGTGTGCATGTAGGGAGTGAGTTATTTTGCATGTTCCAATATGGGGCTTTCTAGTAGCTGAATGAGTATGTGCTTAATAGCAAAATCTGCCTGCTTCCTCACTCAAAATGATTACTGGACATTTTTTTCCACTCAGTTGCAACTTCATTATACATTATTCTCCTGAGGGGTTTTCCCTTGCTAGCTATCTTCAGTGAAATATAAACTTGGTTTCAACAGCATTAATGACATTCTTTGAGTTCTTGGTTCATATAAACTTTTACTACTTTTGGGGAAACTCTCCCTTTTTTTTTGTGGCTATTATGTCAAATAGAAAGATGGAAAGATTGAGGCTGTGACAATTACTCTTCTTTCTCAAAATTTTTTGAAATGAAACTATACTTTTTATTCATAACAAAAGTAACTTCTGAGTTCACTAGTTTAGAATATTGATCTTTTTGCGTCCTTTCCTATGTCACATTACACTATAGCAAGAAAATTACATGTACTCAAACATGCTTTGTCTTTATATCAAGAGGGTGATATAAAGACTGGTGAGGAGGGCCAGTCTCAATTTCATCTTTGCTAAATACACATAATTTATTCTCAGTTTTTATTCTACATGGCTGCAGTTAGATCTGCAGCCTGCAGAACTGTTGCCGGTACAGAAAAGGTCTAACTACTTGCTGTGATCCAAGGATGCTCAAGGAGAACAATTGACTCTGTAGATGCTGTCTTTGAGATTAGTAGAACTAGCACGAAGTGTAATGTCAAAGATTGTAATGTCACATATCCACAGAGGATGTCTCTCAGCACATTGGCTGTTGGCTTTCCAGGTGATCTTTCCATAGATTTCCATCTCCCTTCCCTGGATAAGTCAGGTGGACCGAGTTATAAGCGTAAGAACATTGTATAAAAACGACGTGAAAGAAAGAAATTATTTAGTGCCTCCTATCTTCTATCACCTCAAATCCTGCCAAAAATATTGAAAAACTATGCCAGGCTTGACAGGGTGTTGTTGGGTTTTTTTTTCATGAAAACCAGTACATTGTATCTCTGGATTACATGGTTTCACTTTTAAAACTGTTTGGAGATTGACACTGGAAAAAAAAATTTCTTACTTAGTGAGACATTTACCAACTGTTGCTGCAGTTGAAGGTTTGCACGGTGACCTGTATATTTACAAATGACAAATCATGCCTTACTCCCTGTCAGACTGCCAACTACAGCTTGTTTGAGTTAATGACTAGAAATAAGAAAATTAAGATGGCAGAGTGCTTTCCTTGTCAGCTTGAGTAACCTGGGACTTGATTCTCTTCTGCAGAACTTCATAGCCTGAATGTGATTGTGTAGAGCCCTTTTATGAAAGGTCTCAGCAATGGCTTACAGGGTTGGGGGTGTTTCCTTCAACAGAGGTGAAATGGGAATAGTTAGATAGTATGATACATTTATTTTTAAATAAACAATTATTTCTGCCTAAATGTTAATGTGAAGGTTGGATTTGTCCTGTTTTCTAAGCTAATCCAAATCTAAAGAAATACCCTAGATCTGGGGAGGGCTGCAATAGCTGTGAGCCGTGTTCAAGAGACAGTGCTGAATCTGTATAGAGACTTGTAAAAGAAAAGGAATAGCAGTCATGGGAGTTCAGTGTATCCACCTTTCAATTACAGAACCAAGTGGAGCATAATGACGATGATAAGCTGAGGAACTGAACTCGGCAGCTCTTCCATACAGAGTGAAGAAATACATTTTCTGTGCAAGATGTGCCCCTAGTCTTCTTTCTGCATAAAGGCCCCATATTCTTTCCTTTGCTCAAAATGGATGAGGCAGACAGCTCAGTGCCAAGGGACTGTAAGGTTGTCTGCATTGCTGTCTTGTTGAGGAGGAGTCTCTAGAGAGCTTGGGAAGGAGCTGAAAGGCTTCCAGTCAGGTTGTGGTTATGTTTGTCCATGTTAGAGAGAAGAAGAAATCACCTCTGTGAAAAAATCAGGAAGAATATACCTCTCTAGTGATGCACAAGTCTGTATGTTTTGAAAGCTTGTACTCAGTGTATGTAAGTGTAAATGGAAGACACCTGGACAGACAGTGGTAATGCAAAATACTACTGCTGCTTAAAGGGATCCAGTAATATTTCAGGGTTTTTTTATTATTATATATACATAGTGTTGCAAGGAAAGGCACCATAATCTGTGCAATATTCTTGTAGGACTGCACACAACTTTCTTTCTGTTCCTCCTTATCTTGCCAGAGGGTAGGAGTTTCCAATGAAATAAGTCTATAAATCCTCCTTTTTTCTCACAGCCCTCTCTCCATCTCTAGTATTCAGATCCTTGGCTCTACTTTTCCTGCTTTTGCTGTACTTACAGGTAAAGCTGCTGACTTCAATAAGGGGAGTCTACTCAAAATACACCTAAGCCAGAGTGTCCAGTGCTTCTGGGGCACACTGCTTGGGAAAATCATACTCTGTAATTTTATCTTCTGATTTCTGTCACCCAAAGGGAAGTCAGAGGATTTCCATCACATCAAAGAGGGATCTAATGGAAAATTTTCTGGATGATAGAAGAGGGCACCTGTAAACTGGAGGAAGGTTCCTCATCTGCAGCTCCTATAGCAGCAGGGAAAGAGAAAAAGCATTCCTTTTAGAAGAGGAGCAAAACCACACAAAACTTGAAACAACACAAAACTAGCAGTGACTTAATAAGAGGCATTTCTAATGTGCACTGTGAGGAGAAGTGAGTAGTCTCTAGGAGGATGGAAAGCAGGAATTTGTAAGCTAGGAAGTTAAAGGTGTTTGTTCTGGTTACAGGTTTCTGGGCCTTTATGTTTTCCATTGGACTGATTGCATACATGAAGGGAACAGTGTTGAATTAATTAGGGCAGCTTGCATGTGAGAGCAGGACTAAATAGGGCAGCGTGGGGATGCAATTATAGCTGGAAAATGGTTATGTATTTGATCCAGAAAAATCTTTGGTGCTTTGTTGGAATGGAAACGCTTCTTTTAGATGTCAAGGAGGCAGAACAGGAAGAACAATACAGACAAAGAATTGAAAGGAGACCTTAAGTTCTCTCACCTTCCTCCAAAAAGTCATTCTCTTCTCCCAAGATTCTCATGTTCTTTCTGTCTTTAATACCAAGACAATTTAACATGGTATGAGAGGAAGAAAGTGCCTTGTCCTCTTCCCAAATGAAATGCCCACTGTCCTCTCTTCATTTCCGGATGTTCATATTGGGCAGTTAGGGCTGGTCTCAACACTTCTCTTCTTCCTTTGTGTGAACTTTAGAAGTGAGGAGAGAGGAGCTGCAGATGAGCACCTCAGCAGAGGGTTGTCTGCCCCCAAATTGGAGATTACCAATTCACCCATTTCCAAATCAGAACTGCTGCTGGATACAGTTTTTCTCACTTTTTCTTGATACTAACAAGCACAGGTTTTATTTATATATACACAATCATACATATTTGTCTTTTTATATCAGTATTTTGAATTTCATGACACGTTATTCATTAGATTTTGTTTTAGTTTTATTTTTATAAAGATGTTCAGAAAGCCCTCTGGCCCTGTTTGAAATAACTTGCAAATAATGATATAAAGAGAAGATTGCAGCATCTCTCCAAAAGGGAGAAAAGGAAGCACTCGTTTAAAATGAGAAACAAGGTGTTTTATGTTAGGCTTTGATAATTTTTTCTTATATGTTAAGAGCCTTAGCCACTGGGCTCTTCAGTTTCCAAGAGATGTTTTTGGCAAACCTTCTAGACTTTTCAAAGCTTTATTTATATGTACAAATGCACATTTAAAAACACTTTTTCATTAGTATAAAAGCCATTCCTTAAAAGAAAAAAAAAAAAAAAAGAGAGAAAAAAGAAAAACAACAAAAACTATCAGCTCTTCTCCAAATTTTAGTGAGTTGTGAGTCTCAGCTCAGGTAGGCGCATGCTGCTTGGCGTCTCAGCCCTTTCTTGTGGAGGACCTGATGCCTTCCATTTGCTCCCCTATGTGTTACATTTCCAGAGCTCATTCACAGCTGTCTTCATTATTCACAGCTCTGAAGTGATGAAAGGAGAAAAAAGCAAATGTTGTAGCTTGATGTTAATTGTGAGAATGTTTTAGGAGGGGCAGTGGGCACAGAAACTATGCAGGTGGTAACCTTTGCTGTTGCCTTACAGGAATGTCAGCTCTGCTGGAGAGGAGGCCCGCAGAAGGATGAGAGAGTGTGATGGCCTGACGGATGCATTGCTGTACGTGATCCAGTCTGCTCTGGGGAGCAGTGAAATTGATAGTAAGGTTTGTCATCTTTGTCTTTTCGGGAGCAAGAAATCTAGATATTCAGCATACCTCAGGGCTATAAAGCAATAGTTTTAAAAAAAAATGTGTCCCAACGGATGCCTTATCAAATAATAGTTTAAAGCATCATTTTCTTTTCCTTCTCTTGAACTGTACGTTTGTGTGCTAAATATTAGGTGTGTGTCTAGCTGTGTAATGTGTACATGTAAGCATACATTCCTCTCACTTTGATTGTTACCAGAGAAAATATAATAACTACTTTAAGAAGAGAAAATATGTCACGTTCCATGTAAACTTCCTTACGCCACTCTGCCAAGTATACCTTAAAGTTGATTTTTGGTACCCAGTATGAGACAGAACTAATAACAGTGTGGTAGACTTACAAGGCAAACAAACAAAAAACAAATGGGCAATTAATAAGCAGTTTCACAGTGCTACCAGTGTGACATCTTCTTTGAGGAGGATCAATGAATGCTTTCAGTAACTTTTAAGATGCATTTTTATGTCAGCATCACTTCTCTGAAAATACTAGGATACAGACAGGACTCTTCAAAGGAGGACGGCACTGTTTAATTAAAAAGAATTCAAGGACTTACAAGCTGAAGAGTTGTAGTGCATCAAATACATTTAAGTATTCCACAGAAGAAGAAAAAAAGGCCAGCTTCAATTACCTTCCGTGTTCAGTGTATTGTGCTAAAGCACTTCCAACAATCTTGGTCAATTTGCCAACCCTTAAAAATTCCATAAGAGAAGCCATCAGCATAGTGACGTCTTAAAGCTGGCTATAGATCTCTGAACGATCTTCCACAGAGTTGTCCCTAGACCTCTGATGGCTTGAAAGTTGAAAATCTCCACAATTTTCTGGTCATGAACTAAACCAAACAGATGAAAAATGCTGATACTTTTGTGGTAGGGAGGGAGGAATAATGAAAGGTTTGTAGCATGCAGTGCAGGTTTAGTGGCAAAATAACTAAAGCCCACCGCAATTCAGAGGTCTAGGATCACCTTTCCATTAATAAACGTTTAAAGAAGTAATGACCAAAAGAGGCCAACCCACAAGGCACTCACCATGCTTGGCATCAGGGTCCACAGCAAATCCAGCAGCCACAAGCTGCCTCCCACCCCTTCATCTCACTTCCCACAGTGCAGCTCGGAAACACAGGGGTGTTTTTAGCTTCATAGCTTTGGGAAAGCTGAATCAGGAATTGTGTCAAACCTGCCTGAATAAGGTTGGCTGCAAGAAAGGAGAAGACAGGGAACTTCAGTGGAGCAGCCCAGGAGGTAGATTGAGGTGGAGGAAGTAGATTGCTGCCTTTCTCACATCTTCGCTGCTGCTCTTTCTTCGTAGATGACTGGGCTGATTTCAAGATTGTTATACTATTAAAAGGGTTAAATAAGGAGCATAGTAAGCTCTCTGTTTTGCCTATTTCTCACTAATATAAAATATTCCGTTTATGCTCTCATTTGTAGCTGTTACGACTTTGTAAAATCTGTAGGCTGCGATATAGAGGAAAAAATGAGGACATGAGAGAAGAATTATTGTCCCTGCCTGAGTAGTTTTAACCTCCTGTCTAGCAGGATTTTAACTATGGCATAAAGCACTTGTGCAGCTAAATGCAAAACACCATATTGTAGCCATAGGTCTTGCATCCTTTTCCCAAAGCTGAAAGTGATTTTAATTAAACCCAATATTTGAATAACTGCCTCTAAATCACTTTTTAATCTAGTGGCCATTCATGATGAAATGTTAGAAATATCTGTAGGAAAGAAGAACGTGAGGTCCCTTGAAAGTTCAGAGCTACAAATCAGAAAGAATAAAACCTACTTCTTGTCTTGTATGAGTTCATCCAAATGGCAAGGGTGTCAGTTGCATTTGAGGCTTTATCACTTTCTACTGCAAGGTAACATTGTCCTTGCAGTAGACTCAGTTAAAACTGTGTTGTTTTTTTTTTTATAGAATGAGAATTTAAAGTGTGAAAATTGATATCCATACAAAGGAGCAATAAAATGTCAAACTTTAATCAACACAAAGCTGCAACTTAAGCAAGTTGCAGTTGTACAGAAGTAATGATTAGCATGAGTCAATAAAATTCAAATGTGGAAATATTAAAGATAAGTTAAAGGTAGTAAACTTAAAAAAATATTGTGGTCACTACACGGTCATAGCTTTCAGGTAGGAAAGATGCATTAGAAGTTTTTGCATTTTTCTGTATTTTTTTCTGTATGTGTTTGTATGTTTGGCTGGAGATTTCAAATCAGTGCAAGTTTAATTTGAAGTTTCATTCCTTAAAAAAAAAAAATCCTGTGTAGATGTTTAATACCTTCTCTAGAACTTTGCTGTCTCAAAAACTGTGCCAAATATTACAGGGCATAAGCTCATTCAATTCATGGAAGTAAATGCAGCTCCATCTGCTTGCCTGGCTGGTGAATATGGCAGAGTAGGTTAGAGCTGAAACCTCATACTCACTCTGTTCTGGGTTAGTGGAGCAACAGAGCTGGAATGTAGTGACTATTGCTTCTGTCTCCAAAGAGCATTAGGAACAGTTGAAACAGACAGATAATGACTTTTTCTTAACCATGCTTTCATAAAATTAAGTGCAGATTCTTCTCGTAGGAGATAGCAAAACCAAATCAAACCAATTAAATGAATAGGATTCAAACAAGTCAAAAACTGAACTTCTTTTAGACTTGCAGAAACTATGCTGAATTGCCAGTGCCATCTTTTCCTTCCACTGGGTCTCAGTCTGCTTCAGAATTCCCAGCAACGTCTTTTACAGAAGGCCCAATCTATGTAGAGGACAAATACATGGGAGGGAAAAGCTGTCCACCAATTATTTACAGCCTAGCTAAAAGCAGTAAAAATATCAAGACCACTGAAATTCATAGTCTTGCTTTTTAGCCTCCAGAAACATAATCTGCTCATGCTACAAATACTTCTGAAACAGAACTTGGAAGCTTTTTTTTCCTGACAATTACCATAGATATGATGGCAGAAATAAGTGTTATTTCTGGTTTAAAACCAACAAACATACAAAACCATTGCCACTTTCATTTTGTATCAGTTTGAAGTTCAGAATGACAATAAAAATCTCATAGAAAAATACTGCCCAGACTGTTTTTGTTTGTTTGTTTGTTTGTTTGTTGTTGTGTTTTGGTTTTTTCCCCATAAAAGAGTGTGTGAGACCTTGCCAGATTTTCTAAATCTCTTAAGCAGTGGTTACCAAGGGAGTACTCAGAAATGAGCAGATAAGTAATGTACTGGGAAAATGTATCTGGAAAGATCAATTATATTGCATCTGTTTTGTGTACAGAATGAGCAAGGGAAGTATTTTAACTTCTGTTTTTCTTTTGTTTGTTGTTTGGTTGTTTTTTTTTTACATTTTTCAGACCGTTGAAAACTGTGTGTGCATTTTGAGGAACCTCTCATACAGGCTAGCTGCAGAAACATCTCAGGGACAGCAGATGGGAACAGATGAACTTGATGGATTACTCTGTGGTGATGCCAATGGAAAAGATGCAGAGAGTTCAGGATGCTGGGGGAAGAAAAAGAAGAAAAAGAAATCACAAGATCAGGTAATGAAAGACACTTGCAGTTGCATTGCAAGTAATTGGAGTGCCCATCATGAAAATTAATTATTGTGTCATAAGAAGTAATTAATACACACTAAGCACATGTTGCCTACTGAGACCCTTCACTAAATCACGTCCCCTAGTGCCATATCCACACATCTCATGAACATCTCGAAGGATGGGGATTCCACCACTTCCCTGGGCATCCTGTTCCAGTGCTTGACCAATTTATATATGTGTATTTGTTTCAGAATTAGTTTCATACTCTGCTTCTGCATTTTAAGAGAAAACTGTATAGAACTAAATTAAGCTATATGAGTGAATGTGAAGAAAATACACATGTTTTCATGTAATTAATGTTGTTTCCCAAGATTGGAAGTTACAGTCCTGGTAGTTTTCTTAAGTTACCTGAGGGGCTTTTGTTTTAGATTCATGTAGCAGAAATGCTAAATCACACCTTGACCCAGTGATTGAGCACCTGGTGGGAAGGCAGGGCCAACCCAAGGGATGCAATGCACCTTGAGTGACCAGAAGGGGTGGAGCTAGGATCCACCCCTTCCCAGACCTCATTTAAGGGTTGGCAGGGAAGGCAAGGTTTTCTTGCTGGAGATCCCTGTCTACTTGAGGCCTTCTGAAGGTAAGCAACTTCTTTCCTTTATGTTTGTGCCTGTGGCTGTAGCATTTGAGCAAGCCCTAGCTTGCTGTAGCCTGGGATCTTGCTACTATGTTGTCATTGCTGTCCTTTCCACTATGTTACAGTGCATTTATGTTAAAATTGTGTTTATTTCATTACTTTCTCTTTCCGACTAAAGAAGTTAAGAATGCTAGTAATAATATTACAGACCATGTTGTATCAGTAAACACCTGAAGTAGCACTGAGAATGGTTATTGGCTTAAGAACTTTTTCCAGCTATGGGTACTTCTTTTAACAGATTTAGTTCTTTCCATTACCACGTATTTCTCTTTCAGGATACTTAAAGGTTATATTCATTTGAGTAAGCAATTAGGCAGACAAGGTATTTGGATAAATGATATAAATTATTAGTGAAAATACTCGGTTCATAAAGGCAACATCTATTAATATGGAGAAGTTAGAGTAACATAAGCTAAGATTCAATTTCTTGTGACTGGTAACACTTTTAATTTCACCTGCTCTTGTTGTTAAACACAGTAGTCATCAGATAGCTTGTCTTTATTATGACTTTTTGTTGGGATTCCAGTGTTAGGCTACAGTGGGTTTAGAAAGTGGTAAAGCAAGCTATCACAGAATTCTAGGAGTTGGAAGGGACCTCCAGAGATTGAGTCCACTCCCCCCTGACAAAGCAGACCCCCTACAGCAGGCTGCACAGGTAGGCATCCTAGGTGGATCTTGCGTATCTCCATAGAAGGAGACTCAATGACCTCCCTGGGCAGCCTGTTCCAGTGCTCCATCACCCTCACCATGAAGAAGTTCTTTTGCATATTGGTGCAAAGCTTCCTGTGCTCCAGTTTATGGCCACTTCCCCTTTCCCCATAAAACAGTATTTGTCCCTTCTCCTGCATTAACAGTTCTCACACTGTGCTTGTGGTTATCAACGGAGCCAAAACAAAAATATCATGTCTGGATATTAATGGATTCTTCTGTAACTGGCCTTTCCTTCTCAGTGTTCTATTTAAGAAGATTTTCTTTCTATGTCTCTTTCTCATCTTTTACGTTTTCCCTGTTCCTTTTATAATTTCTGGATCTTGGGCTACTTTTGTTTCGTTATTCCTATTAGACTTCATTCTATTTTAAAGATTCCTTAGAACTTACCTTCCTTCTCTTCTAGGCCTTTTGGTTGATTTCCTTTACAATATACAGGCTTCTGCCTTCATGTAGATACACTTTGCCTGTTTCTTTGATCATTCGTTATCAGTATGCAGCATGGAAGAAGCATCTCCAAATCTGCTCATGTTTGTCAAATGGAATGGTTTATACTAAAGTAATAATAAAATTGTGCATGGCTTTTCGGTTTTATGTTCACTAGGCTTTCCTGCAGTAAGGAAATTTATTCACCTTTCCAAAACTAACTTTGTGTTGCTCAGGACCACTTTATCTTAGAAACATTAGAATAATATTTCTAATATTTTTTTTCATCTCCTTTTCATCTGAACAGTTTTTCAGGACCCAGACACATTCTTTACTACTGAAAATTAAGACTAAATGGAATTCCAGGTTGTTTTCTTCTGTACTCTGTCACAGCCTGGCTGGCTGCATTTCCTGGGTTTGTGTGTGTAAGGAGAGAGAGAGATTCCTGTGTGTTGTGGAGGTTATTTTTGCCTTGCAAGAAGCTTCTACAACTGGATTGTTTTGTGTTCCTCAGCATAGGCAGAATTAATCCCATCTTATTTACACTTTCTGCAGCTTCCAGGAGAATGTTTTTTAGGTATCCTTTGATATGTTGTCACCCAGCATGCTGACTGATGCAGTGTGCTTTACACAGGTACATATTCTTTTGCAGTAATCTCACAGGTTTTTTTGCAAGACTTAATTTTTTTCCAGATAATGCCTTTTATAATCTCTTTTCAATTGCAATGCTTAAGCTATTACCTGCTGTTCATTCTATCCATCAGAACAGATCTCCTGCTCTTCTTGGGATGCTGTATTTAGAGTGCTCGTTTCTTTAAGTGCCTCAGCAGAGAAGCTTTTATCCTCTTAAATATGTCATAATATAGTTCTGAAGAGCATGCTGGTAATGGACACTGTTTTACCTGTAAATAAACAATGCATACATGTGGAGCCTTCATAGGATATGATAATTGAAAATACCTGAAACACTTAAAGCATGACACTGAGGTTGAAATCCTTGGGAAGAAATCTGAAAGACAGGTATAAAAATAATTACTTACCCAGATATTTCTAGATTGAGTGTCAGATGAATTTTAGTAGGTTGTATAGGCTAGGAGTGCAATTTTTGTTGACTGAGATGTTCTTCACATATATGGAAGTATCTTTTCTTTTAAGCTCCATAGTATTGGGTATTTACAGGTACAAAACAAAAAGAGTTCAGTGTTTAAAAAAATGGTGGGTTTTCTTGTATTTGTGCTTCCTTTTGTATTCTTCAGACTTCAGCCAGTCATGTTAGAAGAAGTGCAGAACATGGGCACATTGCATCATAAAATCACAGAATGGCTTGGGTTGGAAGGGACCTCAAGGATCATCAAGTTCCAACCCCCCCTGCCACAGGCAGGGTTGCCAGCTACTAGATTAAGTACTCAATCAGGTTGCCCAGGGCCACATCTTGCTTGGCTTTAAACACCTCCAGGGATGGCCCTAAGCATTGTGATACTGCAGTACAGGGAAGTCACGTCCAGCTCTGCAGCCTGCTACATTTTATGTCTCCCGAGAACATGTGCTGATGTTGGTATAGGTATCTTTCTTTTCTGGCAGCACCATGGAGTTTGTGTAATGAAACTCTCTCTCTTAGGAAGATTAAGTTCACTTTACAAAGTGGGAAAAATGTTCAGATTGTAACGAATTTAATTGTGGGATTTTCCTGTAACAGTATACATCTTTGGTTCTTCAGTTACTTTCTCAGGGGTGTATTTTCACAAATTCCATCTGAAGTGACCATTGTAAGCTTACATAGAGTGATAATTAATTTTTAAGTTGAAGTATACAAATTATCTAAGAAATTCTAGTAATGGAATGACTGAAATTGGGTAATATCAAACTTATAATTTTATATGTAGCATGTGGTCAAAGTTCTAGTTTTCTGTTTTAAAAGAAATTATTCCTATGCATAGGTAGGGAGCTTTGTTTCTTAAACCATAAAATGAGAGGAAACTTTTAATGATGAAGTTACTTCTCACTTGTAAAGGAAGAAAAGTTAAATTCTTTGCTTCATATTATAGAAGATAATTACTGCTATTTCTCTAACTTATATGTCACTTTGTCATGGAAGTTTAACTCCAGAAAAAGCTCAGACCTTCTAAATACTTGCAAAAAAAAGCCATGCACAACATAGTATCAATGTTTTGTTTTGTTTAAAAAAAAAAAAAAGCAGAAAATAGAAGCAAAACTTCAGTGGAGGCTTCAGGAGTTGTGAGATGCACTTGTCTGTATTTCTGACTGAAATACCGAGAGCTGCAGTTTGTTCTGCCACAATTGTATGTTCAGTTCTCCCTGTGGTCAGCTGTTAACCGAGTTTTCACCCCACAAAGCTCCCCAGCTGCAGAGGGTAGCCTCCCAGACCTGAGCATAGTAGACACATCAATGGCTCTGCCTCATGTCCTGCCACTTTCCAAACAGAATTTCTCTACCTCTGGAAGCTTTGTTACTGCTTTTAATATTCTCACTGTTGCCAACAGGCTGCTTCTTTAAGCTGTGTGAGAACAAGAATTATGACAGAAAGCAGTTAAGAAAATTGGGTATGTTATCCAATTTCAGTAAAAGAGCCAGGGAGTTGTCATTAATCCTTATTTTAGTTCTTGTTATGCAGCCCATTATGTACACATGTGTCACTGTTTCATTTCTTTTCCTTTCCTCACAAAGAGGAAACAGGTTTACTTCTTGGCTTCACGCTCTTCTGAAATTCCTCATCTGTGAGCACTCTTGTCAGCCCAGAATCTAGCCCCAGAGCTGACTTTTGATTGGAAGTGGCACTTGTGAAATGAGCCTGCCCTTCTCTTTCACCTTCTGTCAGGAGCCTTAAGATATAACGGCAACACTTCAAGTTATATAGCACTATGAATTGACTGGCACACATCTTTAGTATGCTAGGTAAATGGGCTGTAAATCCTTCTATAGCAGTGAAGTTGCCATTTAACTTTCTATTGTAAGGTGTCTTTGCTGATTGAAGAAGCCAGGTGAAATTTCAGGTTTAAGATGATAATATTTCAAAAAGAATAAAGAATAAATCTGAAATAATGCCTTTTCATATGGTGAGGCCACTGTTTTGCCAAGCATGTTTCAGTACTATACTGGTGAACACCAGATTACAAAGCCAAGGAACAGAAAATAGGCAGCAGTTCCTGGTTTTCACTAATAACTTAAGCCAATTTGGGGGATGAAAACCTGTATTGCTGGTATATTGTGCTTGAGAAATGTATTATTTTCACTTGTCACTTCCTTGTCTTTCATGAGGTGGTTATGCCAGATGCTGTTTAGCGAAAAATCTACTACTTTGAACAGTCCATTACAGTGCTTCTGTTTCTAAATTCTTCTTTGCATACACATAAAACCATGGGGGGTTCACTCAATATCATGTATGACCAAATTGTTTTCAAAGTCAAAACTACAGGGCCATTCAATATGATTTTTGGATTTGTCAATTTGTGAAATATAGTGCAAAGCCCACTAGTTTCAGCTGTCTATGGAGACCAGTGAAGAGAAGATGTAGTTAGATGCCAAGGATTGTAACTGCATCAACTGAGTTGAACCCTTTCCTGGTATTCAATACAACTTAAACATGAATTTGCTTTTAATAAAATGAGAAAGATGATCATCTGTTGCAGAGTTCTGTTGAGGCACATCTCAGTATGTGATTTTTTTTCTTCTCTCAAAGTTCCTTGGTAAAATGAAAACTTTGAAAACTTTTTTTAGAGTACTCTTACTTTCCTATGTATGTTGTTCTTAAAGATCTTCTTATCCAGCTTTTTTTTTTTTTACTTTCATCCTTTCTTTGCAACATTTTCAGGAAATGAGAGATTTGTATCTCATTCACTTAACAAACAGTTTGTCAGCTTCAGTCACAATATATGTGGGCAATTTCAGCTGAAGCAGGGAAGCCTGCAAGGAATACTTGTTTATGACTTGCTTCCTCCTTAGAATAAGCTTGGAAGAATAATTGTGTACAGTTGTTCTATTTTTCAGAGGTTCATATCACATCCACAGCCTATCTCAAATAGACCTTATTGATCATTCCTGATGGTCTGCAACAACACAGTAACTGGTCAAGTAATTCACTGGGTAGAGTCATTTAGCACAGTGCCTCAGCTCATTAATACTGAGCAAGGTGAGCCACAAAGCAGCTTCTGCCATGTCTTAGCCATTGTTTGGGAAAATGTATTGTAATACCATTTGGAGGAAATCACCTTGTTTTGGTCCAGGCTTTTGATGTTTTTACTTATGGAATACAGAATAAATGGGTGAGGATCAAAAAAAGTCTCTGCAGTAGCTTTGTTTCTGACCTGTATTAAGCCTGCATACCATGCAGCAATTGGGCTGTAGGGCTGCAAGCGCTAGTCTCTTCTGCAAGGAAGAAGCCAAAAGCAAACAAAGCCCTTCATTGAGAATTCAGCTGAGATCACCCTGTGCAGGAGGAAAGAGCTAAAGTGTGGAGATAGGAAGTGCATGAGAAGTCATAGTTGTTTGTACCCTCTGCATCCCAGGAAGGGCCAGGAACTGGCTACAGGAGCACCTTTTTGCATGACCTTAAAGCTGCCGTAGGCCCAGCACGTTTGCCATGCATGGCTTGGATTTCAGCACGCCATGCAGCTGTTCTGGTCACAAGCTTCTATTCTGAAAAGTAGTACAAGAGGCTTATGCAGCATCACTGTTTACTGCTTCCTAGCTGCACACATGGTACCAAACCTTTCAGCCCTCACTATGACTCTGAGGCGTTGTGGTGTTGAGAAAAAGGTTTCCCACAGACAGGAGACAACTCCCTTAGTGATAAATTAAGATAATCATGTACTGAAAGACAGCAGAAAGAATGGCAGGCAAAGGTGATAATTTGTCACATGTTTTTAGAAGTGTTTTGTCATTACTGGGCAGAATGGCAAAGCCACGTTAAAAAATAATTTCTGTGCAATTATGATTCCTGGTACCTGTACCAGTACAGCTCTATTTATATCAGCTGATTTTATCTGAATTTTCAGCAGTCCATGGGATTACATGACTGTAAGTATTTGAGGTTTTTAAAAAAGTTGTATTCTCTTGTGCACAAAAAATATATTGGGTAGATCTGATGCATTTGATACGTAAGTGTATTGTTCCTGAAATAGCGTAATGAATACACTCTGCAAACATTGTTCAATTGTGTAATGCTTCCATGACACATGCAAATCAGAATTAAAGGAATAAAGATCTGAACTTATGTCCTTGGACATTACAAGTTGATCATAAAGGGACTTACTGAGATAGAAGGCCCAAATGTGGTATGAAGTTGGATTTGACCTGTAAGGCAGATTTTTTACTTGTTTTCCAAAAAATTATGACAATGCAAATAAATTCCAAGAGTTAAAATAAGAACCAGATTGTAATGTATTTTTTATGGGCAGTTGAAAGGACACTTCTGGCAAGGGTGGTGATTTGTATGGAGAGAAAAAAGGAGAACTGAGTCACATACAGTGAAATCAACATAGTGCTTTAAAGGCAGAAAGGTGCTTTAAAAAAAAAAATAAAAATTGAAGCCCTGTAACAGCATCTTTTAAAGGGATTTTTTTTTTTAAAGGCAATTTTCATCTTGTTTCTGTGATGTTGCTGTGCCAGTTCTCTTAAACTGTGGTACTGTCTGTCTACTGCAGTATGTTTTATATCTGAGCAACGGTCATAGAATCATAGAATGCCCTGGATTGAGAAGGACCACAGTGATCACCTAGTTTCAATCCTCCTACATGCAGGGTTGCCAACCACCAGACCAGGCTGCCCAGAGCCACATCCAGCCTGGCCTTGAATGCCTCCAGGGATGGGGCATTCACAACTTCCTTGGGCAACCTGTTCCAGTGTGTCACCACCCTCTGTGTGGAAAAATTTCCTCCTATTATCTAACCTAAACCTCCCCTGTCTTAATTCAAAACCATTTCCCCTTGTCCTATCACTATCAACTCATGTAAACAGTTTTTTCCCCTCTTGTTTGTATGCTCCCTTCAAGTACTGGAAGGCTACAATGAGGTGATCCCACTACCTCTCCTTTTTGGTGTTTGTTCTGCTTCAATTTTAAAAAAAAAAAAAAAAAAATTGTACTTCTGATTCTCAGTGATAATAATCTATCAAAACTTTGTTACAGTTGATTAAGGTGTTGTAGTGGGTATTGGATAAGGCTTCACTGTCCTTTAGGTCGTACGTAGATTTCTAAAGTTATCTTAAATAAAACTATAGTTATGCTCTGAAAATGAGAGAGAATCTGTGTCTTTCCCAGTGTAAGTATTGTTGTTGCTTTGAGAAATAACTGATTAAATCATCCAGGAAAATTAATAGTTACAGGTCTAAACAAGGAATTAATTTGCTGTGTGCATCTTTGCATGTCTAGTAGATACTTAATTTCACCATGATTACGCAGATATGTATTGTAAGTTCTAACTCAAGGTATTTAAAAGTCTGTTATGTTCCATATCATGAAATCTGTAGATCTCAGAGGTTTTGGAAAAAGGTTGTGCTGAAGATTCAAGGATTGGTTTTAGCAGGGGTATTAAGGCTGTGAGTTTTCTAAATCCTTTTCTCTATACAAATAGGGCAAAGCACTATACACATTTACTGCATGTGTAGATAAAAAAATCACATATTTAAAATATCATTAAAAATGTATTACAGAAATTATTTTTGTTTTTCAAAAGTAAGAGTTGTCTTTGAATTTCCCTCTTCTAAGATGTTTCAATGCCTACATGGAAGTTCTGTGCATTTCAGGAGAAAAATAAATCACTGTTCTCGTGGAGTAAAGTTTGTGTTATCAGTAGGTGTGGCTTTTTATGTAATATCCACCCTGTTGTCCAGGCTTTATTACTGCCTATTTTGGATATCACTCCAGCTATTTTCATGGCAAGACTGTGTTTTGTGGGAAGAGTCAGGTGTGTGAGAAGTGATTCTACCAAATAGATCAGAATCTGAACCTAAAGGTTGCTGGTGGTGGGCTGGCTGTCTGGAGGATGCCTGCAGTGAGAGGTCAGAAGTTGTATGGCTGGGATGATGTACACTGCAGTCGTGCTCTAGGACTTGTGAAGGGATTGAATGCTTATGTCATTGAATGATTTAGGTTTATATAGCGGTGTTTCTTGTTGACTTTTTCCTCTCAAGAAAAGAAAAATTGCAGAGAACTGATTGGATCTCTTCCTGTGCAAGTTCTAGTTTTAACTCTGAATATATGTTTTTATTCAATGGGTTTCTGTTCCTAACCAAAGGAATACATGCAGTGAAGGTTTTCATTATGTCACTTAGCTGCTGTGTAGGAAATTTGGTGAAATTTGGTTTCTCTGTAAAGAATCAGGTGATACACTATCATGAAGAGTGACTGCTTATCTACACGCACACACAGGTGTGATAGCTTCAGCTGAGACAACTCTCAGTATTTCACTGATCCTTGCTGACAGTCTGTCTTGTATTTTCCAACAGTGGGATGGAGTAGGACCTCTCCCAGACTGTGCAGAACCACCCAAAGGAATCCAGATGCTGTGGCACCCTTCAATAGTCAAACCCTACCTCACACTTCTTTCTGAGTGCTCAAATCCAGACACGCTGGAGGGGGCAGCAGGGGCACTGCAGAATTTGGCTGCTGGGAGTTGGAAGGTAAGAATACTGACCTGGTATGTCTGTCTTTTTCATTGAGAACTCCCCATAGATGATATCAAATTGGTGCTACGAGTGTGTCTAAATCCTCCTTCTAGTGGAATACCTTTCCATTTTCACAGAATTATCTGTAGTAAGGTTTCCAATAGCATTTTAAGTCCTCTGAATTGATAATCATGGGAAAAATTGTCATACAGCAGTGAAAATCGTGTTGGTCAAGTATGAAAAATGAATGTTGAAAACCAATATCCAAATGACAAGAAGCAGCATCTTTATGAATCTGTGAGCATGCAGCTATGGAAATGAGTCAAAATATCAGCAGTGACAGTAAAATGAAACCATTTTGCATTGTCATGCAGAAACTGGTTTACATTTTGTCTCTTAGGAGAAACTAGACAAGAGATTAGCAAAATATAAACAAAGTAACACCAACATAAGTAATCTTGCCATCTATTTAAAAAAAATTAAAATGATTAAAATACATCAATGATGATTAAATGTGTACAATGAGCAGGGAACTGCTCAGTCAATATGCCATGTTCCAGCTAATCCCTGCTTGGAACTGCAGTCAAAAGATCAAGTTTTCCCTTTCCAATTATTTACAGTGTATTGAGGGAAAAAAATTATTCATTTATTAAATTTTGAGAATATTCCTGGGTTTAGAGTAAATCGCTAAATGTGAGAATTGGTGAGCCTGATTTACTTTTGTAGCAATTTCTTCATCGCTTTTCTGGCAGTGAACTGATCTGATTGGGTCAAAGTGCTGACTATCTAATCCTGTTGAATATAAGTAATGTATTGATTTTACTTTCTCTGGAAATCTTTCACATTTACTATGAAAACTCACATGTATGGGGGTCTGCAGTTATCAAAGCTAGGCCTCAGAAGGAGTTCAGTTTTGTTTTCATCATTCACTCATTCATATGTGCTATGTATTTAAGTACCAGTTTCAGTAAGAATTAATTTTGAAATGCTAGCCCTAAGGCCAGTGGGTGACTTTTTTCCATGAAATTTTATTGATTGTTGAGTTAGCACACTCAGCAGATTCTAAGAAATGTGATTTTTGGTGTTGTTCCACCAGACTTTTTTTTATAAGTTTGACTATTGTTTTCAGTGACATAATGGAGCGGGCGACCAAGTCTCTGTGCAATGATTTTTGTTCTACAAAGTGCTATGAAAACTTTGCCTGAAAACCAATATTATTATTCTCATATCATAGACCACACCAGATGATTTCATAATCCTGGCACAGAAACACAATAAATGTCTTTTATTCATCTGGGGATGGGTGTATCCCTGGTCCAAATGAGGGAGGAATGTATATGTATTTGCCAGGACTGAAAGGAGTGCAAAAATTGAAGCAGCGCACTCTCCTATTTCTAATAAATCTGTATCTGTCATCCCTTAATTGGCAGATATATACAGTGGACCAGAGACGAAAAAGAGCTCCGCAGAGCTCTTTGGCAAGTGATGTGTTAGAAAAACTGATTTGAACTTTAATACCAGCTATGCTGATACCATGGGAAAAGCTCAGTTATTCTCTTGTTGGTCTATTTTCCTAAAGATTTGCCAATTCCATTACAAGTGATGTGCAGACACAAAATGAATATCCTTAATTTCATGTGTCATACCAGCCATTTTTGTGAGGGGAGTAATCCTCTTTGGGGATTACATAAGCATTGATGTTTCCACCTTTTGACCTCTCTTTTCCACTGCTACAGTCTTCTGGATAGAAAATGACTGAAATAAAAGATAGCAGGCTCTTAAAATAAGAGGTTATTCCTAAGGGAGATTTTCATTTTTTGAGTTCTTACAAGAAATTGTAATTGTATAATGAATAGGAAATTATTTTGTTTTAATCTTTCAAGAAGTACTTTATGATAAAGCAAAAAGAAGAGTAGAGCAAGCCTTGTTAAAATAAGTAATGCTTCAATTAAGAATAACAGCAATTCCAGTGGTGTATTTTCTTTTTCTAAGCAGCATTATTATAACGCTAGAAGAATACTAGAATATATGAAATAACTGGTACCCCAGGTATGCTTAAATACTTCCAAAGATAGTCTCATCTGTAAAAAAAAAAAAAAAAAAAAAAAAAAAAAAAAAAAAAAAAAACCAAAATATAAAAAAAAAAAAAAAAAAAAAAAAACAAATAAAAAAAAAAAAAAAAAAAAAAAAAAAAAAAAAAAAAAAGTGTGTGTATACATATGCATGTTTCTTATACTTGTATGACTCTTTTCTGGCTTTTCTGCCCTTTGGTTCCCCTGGTATAAAACTGACAAAATCTTCAGTAACAAAGAGGTAACACTTTAAACAGGCAGTACTTAACCAATGCAATTATGAGGAGAAAGTGGGAAGATAAAAAGAAGCCTAGAGTAATTTAAAAAAAAAAAATAAAATTGCATAAGGAATTTAGATAAATGTCTGCCACTGGAATTAAGAGATGATGTGTGTCTAATTCCCCTAGACTACTTTCAAATTTGACATGCAAGAGGAAAGCAGCGTAGGTTTAAGGATTAATAGCAGAGGAGGGCTGAAAGTGTCTTCATTCCAGGGAAGATAGTCTTTCACTGATACATAGGCATAAAGTTGACAAAGGTACATAATCAATCTTAAGGACATCTTAAACACTGTTTCATTTGCAGGAATTCCTCCTAAAGCCAAACACTGGGCAAAAATGTGGAAAATAAATGTACTTGTGCAATATTTTTCCTGTGTAAATATAAAACACTTTGCACCAAAGTCTTATTGCCTGAAGGCTTGATGCATATTACCAGTTTGTAGGGAAAAACTTGATTTTTTTAATGATTAATGCAGTATATACTTAGAACCCAAACACTCTGTAATGAATAAAGAAAATGAGCATAATTAGCAACTAATAAATTAACCAGTCCAAATGTAAATTTGCCAATAAAATGTGTTTTTGACCTTAGGTATGAGGAAGGGTATTTTCAATGCAAAACCTTAATTTGGGATAGGAAATATCTATCTTGATTTTTGACATATATTTTGGTTCTGAAAAATAGATTGACAGCATACAGAAAGAAGGATTCATTTTAGAATAGAGGCTGTGAGTATGGAGGTTTCTTCATCTCACTACTGCCCTGGGACTCCAGTATGTAGGAAGGACACTGGTGCTGGAATCCGAAGGACACAAACCTGTTTCTTTCATAGAAAACTACATGAATGATTGGATGTTAATAATGGTGGATATCTGTTGAGGGGGACTTGTTGCTTTCCAGAACATTCTCTCCAGTTGATTCACATCCATGTTATTTTCCCCATACTCTAAACTTCCTGCAGGCAGAACAAGCAACACAAAAAAAAAAAAAGCCATTGGTTTTAGTTTTGCTTTCCTTAACTTCTACTCTTAAATACATTTTTTTCCAAAAATAAACTAATTATACTTTGAACATTTTCAGTTATACTTAAGTTATATACTTAAGGCTGCTGATGGAAAGGACATAAAAACCAAAGCAAGTATGTTTCTCGTCAAACTTGAGCAAATCAGGTTTGAGGCATGCCTTTGGATGCAGTGAAGACTTTATTTATCTCCACTTTCATTGGGAGTTCTGCTAGCTTGTCAAGTTTGTGGAGAATGCACAAATAGAAATAGGAGGTTTGTTGACTGTCTGCTCTGTTCAGAAGGCACTTTTCTGCTCATTAAGAATTCTTTTCAACCTCATATCATTATTTTAATACCTTGGATATCAGAAATTATGAGGTACAATGTAAATCTCTGTAGTTATTTTTTATATATTATCTGGCATCAGTTCTTTTCCTGGGATGGTGGGAACAGAAGTGGCAAGTTCTCTTTAGTTTTCACCTTGGTCAACAGGCTACCAATTCATTAAATCTACTGAACATTTAAGAAGTTAAAATAGTTTAATGCTTAACATTGGCTTCTTGACACTATGTCCTTGCTGAACAAAGTTCCCCTCACTGAAAGAAGGGAGATATCTCAGTATCTGTGTATTTCTGTTTATCTGTATGTACGTGACAGCTAAATTTAGGCTGTTGTCAATTTATCTTCCAGACACATTTCTTTTGCTTTGAACTCATCTCCTACAATGTTATCTTCTCTGTTACATGGAGTTAAAAACAACATTGTCACCAGGAGCAAAATGTGCTTGGTTTTGCCAAACTCTGCAAAACTCCTTCAGTCATTCATATGACTGTTTTATTTTAAAATGCCACCACAATTTATATAAGTAATGCCTACCTTTAATAGCTAGCAAACATGATCTATAATGTATCTGCTGGCAACATAAGGTCTGCATTAGAATAGGTAGCACATCCACTCAATCCCTGCCACGTGCCTGGCCTTCATTCTCAGTTGCTTTGCAGACTTTACAAACTTGCTGTGTCAGCTTTAGTGGTGGGATGGCAGACTCCATTTACCTGAATGTCTGTTAGTCTCTTTCACTCTGTAAAACCAGGAACACATGATGCTCCATGTAAGTCTTGAAAGAGCATAAGGCCAAAGCATTCCTCGGCTGGTTCTTTCTGCCTCTTTTCCTTTCCCTGCCCTGTTTACCATACACAGCAGGGAATAGTGATGTTTTTTGGGTAGACAATGGAATGTACCTGCCTTTGGATCACCAGCAGGTACAATACCGATGTGAATGGATGTTTCTGGTTCAGTGGTCTCATCCCTTGGGATAGCTAGATGAGATACCAGCCTTCATTCCTTAGGCAAACAACTACGTTTATTTTCTTAATTCCATCCTGAAGAAATCTGAAGTCTCATGGGGGAAAGAGCTCTAATAAGTTATTAGATAAAGGAACTCCAAACATAAAAGGGACTGATGGAGTCAGAAAGTCACTGCTGCTATTTCAAAGAGTAAAAAGAAAGAAGTTTGGAGCGCCTTGCCTTCCAAACTCTTGCAGATAGTGAATAATTATTGTCTAAAGTAGCAGACATCTAGGTTATCAATTTTCTCTTATCAGGCTGGGCCATATTGTGAGTTCCCTGCCAGGCTTTTCTGATGCAAATAATTACA